TATTTATATATATATACACACACAAAGAATGAATTAATGAGTATCGCCAGCCTTTCAATCTTCTTCCCTTTCCATCTTCTCCGCTTTCATCTCTTCGCTGTTTTCCTCTCTCCCCTGTACCCCCTCCCCTCTATTGTCAGGCCACTATCAGCTGTCTTGTATCTCGCCACCAATAACAACATAATAAATACAATTGCACCATCACTTGGGTCGATTAATTTTATCGTAATTATATGAGCTTCTCCACTTCTAGTGAGTATTAACTGATGATTTCTTTTTTTCCTTCATTTATTTACTGCAGCAGTTCTGGAAAAGAACATCTGCTCGTGGGTTGTTTTTTTTGTTTTTTTGTTGTTTTTTTTGGTGCTAGCAGTGTGCTGCTTTTACTTTTACCGCAGTATCATGTTTAAGAAAATAATATGCGGACAAAAAACGACATTGATTTGGTCCGAGTTAGTTAGCCTACTTAGATAGAGGGATGAGGATTTCTCATTATTTGAAAACACATTGTCATACAAATACTAAAACGATTTCTTCAGTTGAGACATGTATATCATTATATTTATTGCACATAAGCAAACAGTCAATCAAACTATCAAAACAGGACAATAATATGTTTACTGATAAAAAATGCAAACTAAAAAATCAACAAAGATATAATATCTTTTAAATTCATAATCGTTTCTCAAAATTTGCAAGCACACATAAAATGTAATGATAATAATAGATAATAGATAGCATTTGTATAGCGCATATCCCCGCTCATCAGCAGGATTTATGTACGCTTGAAACGATAGCGTGGATTTATATATTTTGCAAGTACTCACTCATTGAAACAACCTGTCAAACAAGGAAAACATGGAGTCAACCAAGTAGACATTATCGAAATTGGCAAACTGAAATATCAATAAGAGGTTGCTATCTTGTCATTACAATTTCCTGATAACTTCGTACCTGATATTTTTGTTAATGTCTTTTGTATTTTTTTAATGTTTTAATGTTTTATTAATGTTTTGTTTGTTTGGTTCCAGCTGTACCTTTGTGTAGAAGAGTTGGATGATTATGTAAGATACTTGTTTTGTCCCCTCCGCTGTAGTAGTTTTAGTAGATGTGTTTGTACAAAATGTATTTTCTCTATTAACACGTGTGAAGTGTGCTGACAAAATGAGCTACTTCTCGCAAACCAAGACAGGAGATATTGGCCGAAAATCTGCACTGGGGTCAGATTTATAGAATTTGAATGCATGCCATTTTCTTCAAGTCTGCCGTGTCTTCAATAATTCCACACTTACAAATTGGACCAACTTCACCCATAAAGTTGATGCATTAATTTCCATAATGCTAAAATCTGAGAAGTAACTCATTTTGTCAGCACACCTCACATATTCATTTATCTCTTTTGAACCATAAAAAACTTGACTTCTTTAATGTTTGTTGTAATATATATATTACATAACGCTAATTATATACTTATGGCATTGCATTCTTTTTTATTGTAAAGAATCTACGCGTACATTCGCAAGATCTCATTTCTTTCTTAAAGCATTGTTGGAATATATTATTGGTAAGAATTCTGTTGCTGTTGTTTTGGGGGTTGTTTTGTTTGTTTGTTTGTTTGTTTGTTTGTTTGTGTTGTTTTTTGTGTTTTTTTAGGGGGGGGGGAGCGGGTTGGAACCACTTGACCAATGCAATGTTACCATTCTCATTTTACAGCTCTTCTCTTGATCATGTCCTCGACAATAACCACATTATGTTGTCAGGCCTTTTCATACTAGTGTATTGCACATAATAGTATTATTATGGTTTCGTAAAAAAAACCGCATTTATTTCATGTATTATTATAGATGTTTACTTATTGTTAAATATAAAGGTGCCTTTGCAATGTTCTCTTTCATATCAGATTTGGTAAACCAGCATTTGTGATTATGAATCGAGCAATTTCTGAAAACATATTTTCTTTGCAGTGCTAGAGTATAATAATATAATGCACGACTTCATTTCAAGTCATTTGTGATTTGAATAAAATCTGGCTCATAAAATCCCAGACAGGTCTGTACGGTGTGTCGCCGACTGTTAAGTCCCAGCAGCTATCTGTGCCAACCAGTGCGTTGTTTGTTGAACGGAAGTGAGACGGAGGATTGTGGGATACGCTTGACAGACAGCGCCACCTACTGGCGAGGAGAGGAGCGGCGAGACAGAGATAGGAGGAGGAGGAGGAAGGGAAACCATCGAGAGTTGATAAGAGGGGCTGGGGTTGAGGGGAG